TAAATTATAAAAAAATTATATATATATGATCTTCATAAAGTTTTTTTAAATCTCAAAAAATTTAAATATAATTTAATATAGATTGCTAATGGACAGTCTCTATATTTAATAATTTAATATAATGCAATAATAATTAATTATTATTTATGATATATTAAATTAAAACTAAAAGTTGGAATATGAAAGAAAATGAATTTATTCTGGAAGTTTTGGGGGTGGTTGTTACAAGACAAACAATGCACATAAAATAAAATATATCTGAGCAGTCTGTTAATTTAACAAAATTGAATCTACTTCATGGTCTGCTGCCTTTCTAATTTTGTGTTCACACATTTCAAATGCTTGTTGAAGTCTATAGTTGTAAATTGGCAAAGCTTGTTCTGAATTCTTTTATGAAGTTCTGAGGTGGAAATTGGCTTTCCACCCTCTGTCATATAATTTCTTCAAGTGGCACCAAACTGTTCAATTGATCTCATTTGGGTTATATTAGGCACATTATTTTTACAAGAAATATATCATATCCCCAAAATATTAAAATGCATACTTTCAGGTAGTCAATGTTATTTACAGCAAATATGTTATCATTCCTATTTTAAATCAGCTGTTTCAGATAATCATCAATGATGTCAATTGTCTTTTGCCAACATGGGATGTTCTCCAGCATAATTGGATGTTGCCATGTTTGTCCAAAACATGTCCCCTCCATTTGAATAGTGCTGTTTCAAGAATGAGACTAGTCTCTTCCCAATTTTTGTACTATATACTTTAGTATTAGTCTGTAGTGTTCAGTCAATGAACACTAGAGACTGCTGACAAAGGCTTGTTGCTAGTCATGTCAAAATATACATCAGAAACTCTGTCATTTGAATTTCAATTCTGGCATAATGATCTTTCCTTTATCAAAGTAAAAACTTTATTTCCTGTATATTTGGAGCCATCCAGCATAAAATAAGATTCTTCATTTATAATAACCATATTTGTTTTTGAGCCACAGATCTCATTTGTTCAATGGTGGGAATAATCTTTTTTGATTTTCTAACATCTTTACAGTGTACTTAGGTGCAAAAATTCTTTTTCGGATGATGATTTTTTTCTTCAATATATCCCACAAACACAAGTGGGATATTAAACTTTCAACTCTGCTTAAAGACAGATTGGCCCATTGTGGTATTGACAATGGCCCAACAGTGGCATTGGTTAACTGCTTATTCTTCACTTCAGTCATTTTAACTTCCACCTCCTTCAGCATTTTACTGCTCTTCCATTGTCTATAATTGAGTTAAATATAATTATGCTCCTTGGAATATTTGTATGATACTGTTTAAACAGTATCATATACAGTAGAGCATCGATTATCCGACTCAATTGGGGACTGGGGTTGGTCGGATAACTGAAAAAACGGATAACCGAAAAATATGAAAAAATATATTATTAGTATAGTATATTAGTATATCTCATGTAATTAGTATATTAGTATATCGCTATTAACCTACTTTGTGTTGAATTTTTATCGATGTTAAGCCTAACAAAAATTTTTTTAAAATAATAATTGTTGCTATTGTATCGTTAAAAATTAGAAAATTAAGCCTCGTTTAAATACTGGCTCCCTTTCATGGTCAAGCCAGCGTTGCCAGCTAAAACATGTAAAAGTACTATTAAAGTAGCCAAGACATAGCCAAATATTGTAGCGCCACATCACTAGCGGACATTTGAATTTGCTGACTAGAACAGTCGGTTAACCGATGTGACGGTTAATCGGAGATCGGATAATCGATGCTCTACTGTATGATCATTTCAAGGATCATAATTATATTTAAAATGTTTCAGTGAAAAGTTTACTTTTCATCAAATCTGATAACAGGAAAATTTTATATTTTTTTCCTGCATTAGTTTTCTTTTACACTTTCCATTCTTAAAATGATTTCAAAAAATACAACATTCCAGAATTAAAAAAAGCAACTCTTATGCAACAGAAAATCTGCACATGCAATTTCTTTGTGTTGTGCATGCACATGCAGAAAAAAAATGAGTACTAGATTCTAGATTGTATTTGTAAGAGTTTACAGCTACTTTTTCAAGTTTCAAGTCATGTTCATATAGTAACTCTTTCAGTTTGGTTAAGTTTGTAACTTTAGAAGTGATCAGAGATTAGCTATTTGATGCCAGTTCTGAGCATTCACATAACATCATACTTGTGTTCTGTGTATACCTACAGTATGTGATGTTAAATTGTTAGCAAACTGGGACATACATCGGGACATACTGGGACAAATAATCATATTTGTATTTGCCCAAATCAAAGCTTTCAAATTGCTAAAATAATTTTAAATAATTTTCATTTATTAGATTACTATAATTTTTTCCAGCAATACATATGAGTTTCAAATGTTTGCCACCAGACACACCTGCTAGTAATTTCAAAAACTTGTTTGATAAGCATTGATTACATAAATGAATGACTTTGTTAGCAATTTCAGTTTTTTTATTCTCATAATGTATTAACATTTTATCAATATAAGGTCCAATCTGCATTTGAATGTTGTTCTGATACACATTATATTAATTAACATTGTTGCCTGAAAATGTGTTAGAAATACTATTTTATTTTTAAAGAATATAAATGGTCTGATGGCCATAAGAAATGAAAGTAACTTCTCAATGTTTTGATGTTTTAAAAAAAGTAAAGGATGACAACAAGGGGAAAGAACTTATTTTTTATTAAAGTAACTGGTTTGTTTGAAATAAGACAAGGGTAATAATTGTAACTGTTTTTCTTAAAATATATATCACTTCTTAGATAGATATTAATTAATCTTAATATGTGTATATGAATGTGCTTGTAAAGATAGTTAACCAGAGGTCATGATGCATAGTTTGAACTGCCATTTGGCAATATTTTTTATTAAACTTGCAATAAAAATTTTAGTCTGCTTATTCATATGTTCAGCATGAAATTGAATCACAAAGCACACTTCAGGAAAAACTACAGAATGACAAGCTGTTGTGCAATGGGAGTCTCATTCACCACATACCTACTGACGTCATGTCAAGCAGCAAGTTTGGAGAGGAAAACAGGAAATGATGATCAGAACTGAAGGCAGTTTTTGCACAATGCCACCCAGCATTTCAAGATTGGGGATATATATAATTCACTTTTGATCTTTTTTTTAGTAGACTAAAGCATAAAAATTTCAACATGATCAGAACATGTGAAATACTTTTTAAGTATTGTGATCAAATGTGTTATTCAGAATTATTATTCAAAAAATGATTTCTATTTCTGAGTGACAACTTACATGTTACTTTTGCTTTCTAGACTTCAAACTGATAAGGCTACCAGCACCTACATTAATTAGTAAATAAAACTGGTGGCAATTAAATAATTTGGAGTGATGAAAACAATTTAATACTGGTGAAATGGTGGTTTTTAAAATTTTTATTACAAAATACATTACAACAGAGTAGACATTATATTCATTAACAAAGAAAATCGCATCATAAGTATATAGTTGACCAAACTCACAAAAAGAAGTATGTATAAAATATATACACTGAAAAAATTAGTGTATACTCAGAACTTGTCCACGAAATAAAGCATCTGTGAAGAATGAATGAGGTACTTATTGTGCCAGTAATCCTTTCTTGCACAGACATTGTACTACATACATTATATAAAAATTTTAAAGTGTTAGGGCTTCACAGCAGCACACACATCACACTTAAAGCTATCATACTAAACATATGTGAGATTTTCTGAGTGGAATATGATTGTCAGGACTGATGAGGGTTGTAAAGGATCGTGTGTGTGATTGATACTGAAACAGACTCTATGGTTACAACAAACTGTTTATTTTATCTGAAATTTTACTAGATTTCTGTGTTCTTGGAAGTTCAGTTGGCAGTGACCTCTGGTTCTTGCTCTCCTTTCAAAGGTAGTTCCAAATGAAGGAGTGTCCCTGGTTTACAAATGAGTTCTTTCAACATCTTGATGGTTCCAGGTTGATGTGGTCGAGTTCCAGTGATGGGAAGATGTCAATCCAAGGAAGGGAGAAGTAGACGAAGATGGGCATGAAGAGAGACAATTGGTCCAACACTGAATTTTCAGGAGATGTCACATCCTTGAAATTCTGGAGTTTTTATTAATTTCTGTCTGATTGTCCATTCCAACAGGTCGCTTTTCTTCATTCTTACTTTCTAAATGGTTGATCACTCATTAATAAACACACTCAAATAACTTTGAATAAACAGCAAAATTTTAATAGCAAATGTTTATAGACGTTTTTAATGACCACCTTCCAGTAGAGTATGTAATGGAATGCCACAATGGTTTAAACATTATAATGTTCAAACATTTTAGTTATTGAATAAACAGCAAAAATTTAATGATGTTTGAGAGTGTTTATTATCTTTGCAAAGCAACTCTGATTTAGTTGATCACTCATTACCAAGTGTAACGAGATCTCAATTTGGATTGCAGGATAGGTCAAAATTGATGTTTAATTTGATCCCAACCAGAGATGGTTGATTTTGGGACTTACATTCTTCTATTACTTATATGTTTGCTTTGCATTTGTCATATAAAAAATTATTTCTAGTTTTTCTTTTTTTTCTTTCAAAAAAAAAACTTTAACATGAATTTTACTGAGATTTGGACCTGTCCAGAGCCATTCATACATTCCATAGTCAGTAAATTCTTATACACAGATAGAAATACAAACAGCATTTAAACAAAACATTTGTTTTCTGTATGCTTTGAATTTGGTTCAGCATAGCACTAGGCACAGTATATGGGACATGTTGGAAACACTCCAACAACATGATGATGAAAAAGACAGAAATCGTATGATACATTACGTGCCAGATGATTTCTCCTTATGTGCCACTTTGGGCATGTGTGCCATAGGTTC